GAGAGAGAGAGAGAGAAGGAGAAGACGCGAGTAAATGTGAACGCGAGTAAACGCATGCTTGCATACACTGAGAGAAAGAAATGTCTGAAAAATTTAAAATTTATTTATTCAGTGGGTGCTAACAGTACATTTGCTTAGATCTCAATTCTTTTGTTTAAATAGAATAAATTGTGTTAAACTTTGTTTAAATAGAAAAAATTAAACAGAATGAATTAAATAAAGAATAGATTGCTAGGTCAAGACAACTTTTAAGAGAAGACGTATATTTCCTTATCCAAGAATTATTGTAAATTAGCATAAGCAAATGTGTTATTAGTGCCCATCGAATAAATAACACTTTTGATCTCTGAAATATTTTTTCCTCCGCCGCTGTAGTAAACGCAAATATCCACATTTGTCAGCATTAATACAAAATCGCTAGCTCCAGAATTACTCGTGCATCGGACCCGTTTTCTTTTTGAGAATAACTCGCCTGCGATATCGATCGTTCGCGACACACGGCATCCGCCGTGTGTATCTAACGCGCTTCGACGGTGGCGAGAGACGATAACGCGTCTTGCGCACGCGGGAAGCGCACGAATGCATTTCGTCGTCGCGAAATGAAATTTCACGGAGGAGAGCGCGAGGATCCCGTCTCGCGCCTCCGTCGCACAGTGAGCAATTTGACTACCTTTCGGGGTAAAAATCTGTTCCGTTGCAATTTTTACCTAATCGTAATGATCCTTTTTGCAAATTACTCGTTGGACTTTCAGTTCTAATGGCTACAAATATAACAAAAAAATATGAAAGTCAAAGAAGTATGAAAAATTGGAAAAACTTTGTTGTACAAAGTCAATCGTCATAGAACATGATGCAGATATAGCATGAGATAAAATATAAAGAAATATTAATGAAATCGAGTGGCTACAAAATTCTAAATCATATACCCTGAACCTTTAGATCCTAAGTCCTTGAACGCTTCAATCCTAAATACTAAATCCTAAAGCCTGAAACTTTGAAATTATAAATTCCATGTCCTTAAATCTTAAAGTTTATGTAGCCACTCGATTTCATTTATATTTCTTTATATTGTACTTCATATTATATCTACGTCAAGTTCTATGACGATTGGCTTTGTACAACAAGGTTTTTCCAATTTTTCATACTTCTTTGGCGTTTTCTCATCTTCTATTGTAAGACCAAAAAAATAACAGCGTTTCCGCAATTTGTAGCAAGTAGTAATTTGAACTGAAAGTCTAACGAGTAATTTGCAAAAAGAACCATTACGATTGATAGAAAATTGTGGCGGAACAGATTTTTGCTCCGAAAGATAGTGAAATCGCCCAGTGTGCGCCGCCGTGAAATACACCGCGGGCGTGTACGAAGAAATCGCGGGCGCGACGACTGCGCGGCTTCCTTCTCGCCGAATCGCGAATTCGCAGGCGGATTTGCGTGTCGCGAGTACCGGAAATGCACCTTGTAAATGTACCGCCGGCACTAAGCACCTTATCTACGGCGCGCAGCGGCCGCAGACGTCACGTAATCCGCGTCGAATTTCGCTGACTATATTTGCGCCGACTATGTTATCGGCATCGCGGAGTATCGACACCTTCGACCCCCGAATCGCGGATGCAGTCGATGATTCCAATTGAAAATACGGTCAACTCGCGTCAATTGCGATACGATGTAAAAAGGCAACGTAGAAAAAGAAAAAACAAAAGAGACGACGATGCCATCGGATACATCGCGTGTAAAGTAATTGGGAAAACTTTCCTTACGAATGGCTTTTGCCGCTAGCCCCGAGTATTCGATGACTAAAGTCGAAAATATGGACAGTTTTATGTCATTATTATAATATGATTATATAATTATTTTTCCATATGATTAATCCTAGGTATACTTATTTTTCGCATACGTAGATGCTACACTGGGGTCCTAGGGACCCCATCTATATTTGTATTGTAATTTTATCAAAAATTGACATATTTCAATTCACTTTTTTTAATATATAGAGAATTGATTAAGGAACAAGCTTATAATGAATAAAAGTCGATAGAATTAAGGAGTTTCGAGATGTACAGGTTAAAAGAAAAAAGAAACGCGACAAAACCAATCCGAGAAAGTTGTGCTAGGTTTCCAAGGACCCTAGTATATATACGAAGGGTTAATTATATAATATAATCATATAGAAAAATAGAAGAAAAAGCTTTGTCACAGTATATCGTGTAAAATAATTAGAAATGTCGGTTTTATAAGTGCTTTTTGCTCCTAGTCTCGGATGTTCGGCAATTTAAGATAAAAATATAAGTAATTTCGCGTCAATATTACGATATGGCATCAATTATAATAATATCGAGTATATAGGTGATATGATATGTTAAATAATAATAATAATTAAGAAAAATAGAAGAAGAAATGTCATTGGTATATATATAGCGCGCAAAGTAATTAAAAGTGACAGTTTGATAAATGTTTTTCAAATTCCGAATATTCGGGATATTCGGTGATTTGAGAGTAAAATTTTAATAACTCTGCGTCAGTATTACGATATGGAATCAGTTACATAACATCGAGTACACACAAGTGGCATGATAATCAAACGTAAAATAATAATAATTTAGAAAAATAGAAGGAAAAGTGTTGCCAATCGGTACATCGCGTGCAAAGTAATTAAAAGTGATAGTTATATAAATGTCTTTTGAACTCCGAGCTTCGGATATTTGGTAATTTAAGATAGAAATATGAATATAATTTCGCGTCAATGTTACAATATGGCATCAATTATGAAAATACAATATCAATCACATATATATATGACATAGTAATTAAACGCAAATGAATAGTAACATAAAATAGAAGAGGTAATGTTGTCATCAGTTATATCGTATGTAAAATAATGCACCAGTTTTATAAACGATCATTAAATATATCTAGAAAAAATAACATTTTTCTGCCAGTTAGGTATGCGCAAACATTTTACACCTTGCCCTTTCAGTGTTGAATGAGCGGTCGTCAATGTAAACAACACAGCTGGCAGTAAAAAAACCTTGATGACATCATAACTCCCACGAAAAAAAATACACATTCCTGCCGTAGCCTCAGCGTTCATTTGAATTCCTCACTTTGTAAACATGCTTTTTTCCTCACGTTGGCGTCGTACTCGACGCCACGATTTTTGTGTAAAACATACGTACACGATATCTTATATTTCCAAATGTAACTTGTTAAATGTGATGAAATGAGAAAGCAATCGAGTATATCTGTGTACTCGGAGCGGAAACACGATTAGGAAACCGGTGAACTGAGAACGCAGCAGGTGCTGGTCGGAAGCCTGACCGTCAAATGTATTCGTATAGTTAGTACTTACCGGCTATTGAGCGAGCGACGTGACAGCGCAGCAGGTAGGCGACGACGAACAGCATCCGCGGCAGCCTCATCCTTTCTCTCTCTCTCTCTCTCTCTTGGAGCGTCGTTCTCGGCCAGCCGATTGGACCACGGCCCGGGTGGAAACGCACGTGAACACTCCGCGACAACGACGGACGCCGGACAAGCGTCAGACAGTGCTTGTCTTCCTCAGGTTGCCACTCGCGACGCGACTGGATATGCACGACTCAACGTCGCGAAATACGAGGACTGCGGCACGAAGGAGGAGGAAGCAAGGAAGAAAGGAAGGAAGGAAGGAAGCAAGGAAGGAAGGAAAGAAGAAAGGAGCAAGCTTACGCGAGTTTCGACGTACAAATGCGCGCGTCCGACATCACAATGCTCGCATCCTCGCGCCGCGCACTCCGGTGTCTGACTGAGCGGCGGGCCAATCGCCGCGGCGAGCTCTGCTCCACTGCGCAGCCAGTCGGCGCAGCCGCCGCGTCTCTACGGCCAATCGCGCGCGCCGACGGTGCCGCGCGAGCACGCGCATTAATCTACCGCCGTCTCGTTGCTGATACGGCCGAAACGGCGGATTTTTAATTCGCGCCACTCGACTAATATTCACTGCTGCTTTCAAAGTTGAGGAAAATTGAGGGATTCAGCGCGGCGTGAGCGACGTTTTAATCCATTTTTCGTGGGACTCGGCGAGGATTAATCTCGAAACTGCAAACACAGCGCGCTCGAATTAATTTTCTCCCGTGCTCTTGAGAGAGCGCATTCAATCGTTCTGAGTCCTTCATGTTCGAAAATTCATTTATACATTCAAGCTACGACTGCGTAGTTGCAGCACGACATCCCCAACTTATATTAAAAACTTCGAGAAAATCAAAGTTTTTAAGATAAGATTCCATATGAACGAAAATGGCGCGGCTACATTACAGAAATAAAATAATTAAATTGCGTAAAAATAATTGTCGAAAAGTTATTTCTGTGGCATTTGTGATTGTTAATATTGCAATAATCACTTTTTCGTCAGCATGCTTAGTTGAAAGATAAAAAAAATTTCAGCTGCCGAAACCCGGGATTGAACCGGGGACATTTAGATCTTCAGTCTAACGCTCTCCCAACTGAGCTATTTCGGCTCGTGTTGAAGTTTATCACTAAATGCTGAAATACCCACTCTTCCAATCATGCGATTTATATTGATAAATAAATAATTTTATATAAAAGCAGTATTATTAATAAATTACGCGAATTATAGAAGCAACAGAATCCTGTTCTCGCAAAATTAATACTATGCCAATGCAATCACGCAATTTTCGTTGAAACTAAATTTCGATTCTTCTTGCGACATTTTTTTAAATTATAAGTTAATTAATAATAATTAGGATTTAGAAAACGTTGAAATCGATCATATCGAGCATTAACCGCTACATTTCATCAAAAAAGATGCGTTATTGTACAAATATCGGATGGAAAGAAAATATTACGATTAAAAAGTGTGTTAATAAAAATTGTGCACATGAAAGCGGATAACTTCAGTTACTCAACTGTCCGACTATTGATTATTCTAAAACGAATTTGTTGCGCCGTGCGACGCATTCGAAATATTCTCCGAGGTACTTCCTCGTATCTTTCGAGGTCTCGACTGATTGATAGTCGATGCACGATGCAAAAATGCGCGTTCTATGAAATGCACTCGAGGTTACTCAGCAGGGACGAGGGAAAGGGAGAGAGTCGTTTTAATTCATGGTCGTGACTCGAAGGATCGTCTGGAGAACAGTTTACAGGGCCGATACGAGAGATACTTGGGATATCGCAGTGCTAAAAAGACACGACGCCAATAAAGATACACACACAGAAAAATATCATTCCACTGCTAAGAAAAGTGATCGCTCAATTTATTTTATTTCCCCCGTTTTGAGTAATGGTTATCTTCAACGAATAATATTTTCTCGACAATCTTAAAATATACTCGATACAAATTTAAAAAAGGCTTATTAACACGTATTCAAAAAAGAAGAATCTATTTTCTTTACAGTAATATCATAAAACCTTATCGAAAAAAAAGTTGGTTCGGTTTCAGGTAGTGAGTAAACCGAATTTTGTCTTAATTTCATATTCTTGATTAAAACGCTAAACTAGGAATCAGAATGAATTTTGAATAAGTATGATATTTATGATGAACTTATGGTAGATTTGCCATGTGAATTTATGAAATACCTGAAACTAGTAACATTCACTTAAATGTTATTTCACACAGCAGTAATATCCAGAATATATCATAGGAATATTCTAAAAAGATATCACGTTTTCAGGATATCTAATGATGTATTTTGAACATTTTTGCTATGTGGAATATGTATTTTTTGTATACACGGCGATAAAAAGAAATCTCAAAGCGTAAACAAGCGTAAAAGAGCACAAATAAAAAAGTACAAATCTCCTGTTTTCCTTCTTTCCACTCCCTCTCTCCCTCTCCCCTCTCTCTCCTTTTCTGTTCCGCTCAACTGCGCTTTCTGAATTTCGTTGTTCCTTCTCACTTATCAAAGTGCACGTTTCCTTTCGTTTTGCGCATGTGAAAAGAATAATGAAAAGTACGGTTGACAAAAAAATACCCAAGTCTAATCTTTTTTGAAGAATTTTCTGAACCGGTATATGTACAGTAGGTCGCAAAACGGTTCAGATCCAACGAACTTCATCGCATAGCTAATGATCCAATAAAAGAACAAATTACTCAAAAATAAGTACTCTCATTGGACCATCAGCTACGCTCTGAGTTTATTATGTCTAAACCGTTTTGCGACTCCCACTGATGCAAAAAGTTAGAAATTGCAAAACAAAAATTTGTTTCACTCCAAGCTATTGCATTGGTATCAGTAAGTTCTTCGAGAAAGAACGTACCTTCTGTTATTTTCCTAACCGCTGTTTCTCGATCGTGCGATCCCGCGGAGCGAAATGTACGAGTACGCAACGGAAGCACGATTGCGAAATGGCGGGCGACATATTATCAGAATTACACGGCCGACATGTCACACATATAATTTCGCGATACCTGCTCATTTGCCAGCACGGCGATTGCCCCGTGTAATCTGGAAATGGTGCTTTCCGTTTCCCGCGAGAATTTTCCACCGACGCCGTCGGATTCGATTGGACGCGCGTCCTGCAAGTCCGTCGCTACGAAACTTCCGCCCGCGACGTTCCGACGGTCCCGGGAGAATTCGCTTTTGTATGGGCCCGCGCGTAACGATCGCGACGTTGGACGAGAGGACAAGCACAAGAACGAAGACGGAGAAAAGAAAACGGAAGGCAAGGACGTGACAGCGAGGTCGCGCGTTCTCTTCCTGGCCGGAACGCTCTGAACTTGGTCGTCGGCGCGCGGCGATCGACGCGCCACGGACGTTAGTCGTGTGTCGGACGTGCGGTGTGACAGATCGACAGAGAGCGCAGCGTACGCGCAGGCACAGTTTGGCAGTCATCGCGACAGCAGTTTTGAGGGACCTTGTCACCGTGGTCCGCTCTCGTTATCAGCGTATTCAACATCCTGACGCGTCAGCGAGCAACGCCGAGAGGGCAACGCAATCGGCATGGCCAATTTGAGACAAACACCGTTGACGTGCAGCGGTCACACGAGACCCGTGGTGCATCTCGCCTTCTCAGACGTTACCGAGACCGGTTATTACGTGATCTCTGCGTGCAAAGGTACGACACAGCGGGCGCGATCGCGACGAGGGTCATGTGCGTGCGTCGCGCGCCTGCTAGTGGATTTTCCCTTTCGGCCGTTCGATTCTCGATCGCCTTGGCCCAATTTCTCTCACCGCCGGAGCCCCAAGGCTCCCGCAAACTTCGAGGTTAGACACCGCGTGTTCTTGACAACCGCGCTCATTTCGCCGCTTCCGCGAGCTTGCGCGACTCACAACGGCCGACACGCGTACATTTGCCGCGAGGTTGCTCTCATCGCGACGATAACTCAATGTTTCTTTGCGAGAGCATGATCGGTCGTACGCGAGCGTTATCGTGCGTTTGATGACAAGGAAGTTACTGTAATTAAGGTTGATATCTCCGAAAGGCTTCGCAAGCATCAATGTCTTTTTCTATTTTCATATATGTTCTCATACGAATATTTGGTAATATCTCGAGTAAACAGAAATGTATAATCAAGGAGTCATGCTGTTGCACAACAAATCGATCAAACAGCCTAAACTTAAATTTGCCCTCTTACATGTTCTGTACAGTATAATGTAATAATTGGAATATATATTCAGTAAAGCTTCAAATTTGCCTGTCATTACAAGTTATCATACAGAGATGTAATGGCTACGTTCAACAGAAGTTGCTTTACAACTATTGTAAAATTTGTGAATCTGGTGTGTGCTTTTAGAGCCTCTGCACAAAAACATCCGTAACATTTGTGTGTTGACTTAAGTTTAAGTTTACGTACAGGTATAGCCATTGTATTGTCAGTACTTAACGTAACATAAGATGTTACGGATGTGCTTGTGCGTTGGCTCTTAGGCTTGGTTGTACAAACATTATTGTGACTTTAAGCAAGACATGTGTATATCTTTATCTTTTTTTTCTAAATAAATAAAGACAGACATATATTTAAACTTCTTTTAAAGTCAAAATAACATTGGTGCAATCGAGCTTTAGATTGCCAGGATTGAAATTATACACTGATCAGATCTATAAATTTTACAACAATGACAAAGCAGCTTTTTCTGCTGAATATAACCAAAGCAATTATTTATGTTTATAAATCAAATAAATGTAATTGTATTTTCTTCATGTGTACCTCACATGACACGTTTATTTAATATAAATTCGTTCATTTAATGTAAAAGCAATTTTTTGAAACAATGATTTCCTTTCAGATGGCAATCCTATGTTACGACAAGGTGATACTGGAGATTGGATCGGTACATTTGAAGGGCACAAGGGAGCAGTTTGGGGTGTAGCATTAAATCCACAAGCTACACGTGCTGCAACAGGAGCAGCTGATTTCAATGCTAAAGTTTGGGATGCAATCAAGGGGGAAGAAGTACATTCTTTTCAACACAAACATATAGTTAAGTCTGTCAATTTCAGTACCGACTCCAATCATCTATGTACGGGCTCCAATGAGAAGATAGTGCGCATTTACGATCTTAATAAACCAGAAGAAGCTCCACAAGTAAGTTTGAGGTTACACAGCTTAATAAAAATAATAATTAACACCAAAGCACATGGTATTAAACATAGTTGAATTAATTCTTTTCTTTTTTAAAGAATTAATTTTCTTGTTCAATATCTCAAAATTTGATTGCTACTAAATTTTATTATATTTAAAAGTTGATACTATTAATAATACTATTAAATTTAATTACTAAACTTTAATGAGTACTACTTTGTAGTATCTAACTTTTTTAATTTCAAGGTTTTAATTTCTTAATAATATAATTGACTCAAGATACCATTTATTCTTTCTTCAATAATAGAAATTTAGAAACCTCTAGTTTTCAGATATTACAAATATAAAGTTTACTTATTTTTCATAGAATTGTAAGAACATAAGTTAACATTTGTTAATTATGCTAATAAATTTTATTAATAAATTTTTTTGGATATTCTAGAATCTATATTCTGTTTAAACTTATTAACAATATAATTTATTATTAGAAGACATATCTATTGTCAAAAAGCAACAGCAACTTTATGGCCGTAATATTCTGAAAATTAGAGAAATCAGGTAAATTTGATTTCTTATTATTGTCTTTTGCTGAAGCTATTAAGTCTTTTAAGTTATAAAATTTTAAAATAAAAGAACACGTGGTTAGTCGTTGAATCGTATTATTAGAAATAAAAAATACTTTTGTAACGTGCTTGCTTTCCTGTCGGAGACTTTAAAAGTATATTTTAGAATAATTCTGGTAAACATTGTTTAATTGACTAGCGTTATTTAATGATACGTAAAAAAAACGATCGTAAACAGTTTAACGTTTAAACGATTTACGTTACGCCATCTAATAGTAATAAAGGGAAACTAGATGCGTCAGAAAGGTTCGGGTCTTGGCTAAGCAGTTAATAATTTTTAATTGAAAGAGGTTCGAGTCTCGACTAAGAGACTTCTTAGTTCCGTTTTTTTTACAATTTAACTGTGAGCCAGACCTCTTTATCTTTTTAAAGTGGTATGATAGCGTGTCAGGAATTTTTTTCTTATCACCAAATCTCTCTAATAAGAATAATGCAGAAGAGAGCTTTTTTACCTTCAAATATATAATCAATGGTTTGTCTAATGTCTTTTTATCTTCAAATTGTACAATTCAACGGCAAGGCAAAAGATTTTTTTAATTTCAAATTGTACGACTCAAGGACAGGTCAAATGCACCTTTACGTCATGGACAATTTAATTACTTTTTATATAATTAAATTATCTAAAACATTTATTTGACTGTTACTTTGTTCATGGGAAACAGAAAAATTTCAATGAACTGTAACTTCAGGAAAAATGATAGTGTAAAGATACATTTGATCTACTGTGAAGTCGTACAACAACAAAAATAAATACTTTTGCCGCTTAAATGATTTTTTTACTTTCAAATTGTGCGACTGGTCAACAGATCGAGCGGATCTTTATTCCTAAAAATAGTATGACTTAACAATAATAATTTATTAACTACTAAATACTTATGAAAAGATAAAAATGAAGATTCAAGACTGAATCTTCTTGAACGAAGAATTAGATTAAATGTTAATAAATTACTTTCATTGATTTTACAATATAATCATTATCAATATCGATAAATCGATACTTTATATATATATGTATAAAATTCATTATTTGTACGTCTCTTATTTTTCTGAATCGATTCCTTTTCTGACCCATTCCTAATCTGAAGCAATAGTGTTTCATATAAAGTATCTTAATTTCAGATCTTCTCAGGTCACACGAGTGGTATTAGGCATGTCGCTTTCTTCGACAACAACTCTACTTTAGTCTCTTGCGCGGATGATAAGACATTGAGGGTATGGGACAGAAATAGCGGGCAAGAAGTGAAGAGACTAGACTTCCCTGCGACTCCAAGTTCTATGGAGGTATCCAAGGACGGAACAATTATCACCACCTCTCATTCTAACATCGTCACCTTCTGGAATACCAAGGAGTACGTATGACATGTAGTTTCTTCCTTTCTTTTTTTCATTATAAAACTCTCAATATCGAAACCTTGTCCTACGATATTATATAACAAAAGTAATATTCAGTTAGTAACGTGTTCCCGTACATGATGTGATCTGTAATTCTCCTTCGAATTTCTCCTGACTTCAGATTAACAAAGATAAAAGAGTTCACGGTGCCCACACAAGTGAACAGCGCCAGTCTGCATCAGGACTGCAGCATCTTCGTGTGTGGCGGAGAAGACTTCAAGATATACAAGTTCGACTATAACACTGGCGAAATAGGTGAGAGATCATGTCACCTACATACTTCTTCTACAGATCTGCAATTTCCGTTAAGAATAATCCTACAACTTCATTTTCTCGTTCTCTTTCGACCGAGCTGATCAAATTCGTGTTTTCAGAGTCGTTCAAAGGACACTTCGGACCTGTCCATTGCGTACGCTTCTCCCCGGACGGTGAACTGTACGCGAGCGGATCAGAAGATGGTACGCTGAGACTATGGCAGACCACGGTCGGCAAGACCTATGGGCTGTGGCGTTGTGTCGAGCAGACGCCCGCGATACAAGAGAACGCCGCTGTGATTAACAATAAGCAAGAGGTGCCTGCCAACTAAAAATCTCACAGCGAAGCAAGCAAGAAGCTTATCAGACATACCATGTGCGCGGACGCGTTCCCTATCTAATGATCGTCCGAATGACACACAGAGACATGTCTCTTGGACCAAAATCGAAGAATGAACGGGCAAACGGAACACCCGTGTCGCGGACACACTCCCTATTTTACGGGCCATTTTTAATCATTGGTGGAAATCCTTGTAAATAATACAAACGGATCCCACTGGAGCCTACTGGGGAAAGTTTACTCGCCTCCGTCGTGTCATACATATATATATACATATATAATATATACATATATAATATATACATATATATATATACATATATATATAATATATACATATATATAATATATACATATATATAATATATACATATATATATATACATATATATACATATATAAATTCCAAGTAAGACTAAAAGGAAGCGAGAGAACCAAGTAACACGCTCTTTTCTCGTAGAGAATGCGCCGTCCGAGCGTAGAAGCGCGACGGACACGATCGCTATTTATATTTGCGACGAAGAAAAGAGAGAGTAAAACGGAGAAGAAAAAGAAATATTAACATTTATTAACATTATACATTGTCATTATTATAATACAAAATTAAGGTAGAGGTGTAACGTGAGAAAGAAAGACGAGTTTGGAACGAATGTTTCATTCGCATTTCTTGTTCTTCTTTTTTCCGCTTTTCCTCCCCCTCCCCTTCCCCTAAACCGATATCGTACATCCGTCCATTACCCAAACGCGCGAGAAAATGCACGGCATTGACCGGCTACTTGTGACCGACACGTGCGATGTCTGCTGATCATCTATCCTCCGTCCGATATACTCTACTTTTTCTCGATTCCAGTTTCCGCACGTGATATATCACTACCGTATGTGCGTGAGAGAGATGATAAATTTACTTTTATTCGTTCTCACCACTTGCGCGCGATCGTCTAGCGCGCTTGATTTTTTTTTCGTAAAGAGAAAAAGAAAGAAAGTAAAAAAAACAACCGACCGACAATCCTCCGTATTCTGTACGAATTCGCGCGTCTTCCCGCACGAGGATCTTACCCTTTTCTTGTTCTTTTCTTCGGTGATGCGATCTGTTTCTTCTCCGTGTTCGATAAACTTAATATACTTGCGCCTTATCATCTATATTTACACGCCGGCAGGTACTGTTCCGTTATCTTTCGATGAAGCATCTCTCGCAGGAAGCGTGCGATTTCTTCTGTCTCGTCTGTGGTACTAAGTTCTCGTGCGCGCACGGATTTAATTAGCTGATCAATTAAGTTTGCTTAATTGATTAAATGAGGATTGGACTTGTCGTACAGTCTCTCGAAGTAAGGCAGTGTGTCTCCTGCGTATTGTTTATCGGTAAGCAACGAGTTTATGCTTCAAAGTCTTCTTGCGTGCCGTTTCCGCGCGCTTCAGCCGATGAATTGCGACAGATCGGGCAGTTTGAAGCCGTTGAACGAGGTCGGCGTCGGCGAGCTTCCCAGATTGCTCCGGTGCGACGGAAAACCGGGGAAGCTGTTGCTGGGCGTGGTAAACTGCTGTAGCCTCGCGGTGGTCTCCGTGGCCGCCAGTACGAAGCCGCATTGAGCAGTGCACACGTCGTCCCGCAGGATCGCTTCCCGGGAAGCTTCTCGTAGGAGTTGATTGCAGTCCGTGACTCTCAGCGAGGCACATTGCGTCTGAAAAACAGGAGAGAGAATCGTTGAAATTTCTCGCGTGATTGAAATCCAATTTCAATCTAAAAATTCAATTTAAAAGCTTTAAAAATTAGCTTAGAAGTTCCATTTCAGAAGTTTATTTTCGGGAATTCACTTTCTCAGAGTTCAACTTTCGAACTTTAATTTCTGATGTTCCCCCGCGTATGTACACTGTCGAAATTTAAACAAATGATTATAGATTTAGGACCTTCATACGCAAACTGCCATAACGAAAAACATAAGTAAGAATTGGTCAATCACATTGAGTGTTTTTGGACCGTAAGGTTGCTATCTTCAAGAATACTCGATTGTAATTGGCAAATTCTAATGGCACGTCTTATGTTATGGCTATGGCAACTTGTGTCTGAAGACTTGTATTAATAGTTGTCACCTGAAATTGTCTCACGTGAGATGTTCAAATTTTTATTTAGAGTTATATTCGAACTTTTCATGATCCATATATAACTTTTTATGGTCGTTACTTGAAACTTGTCTCAGGTGAGACACTCAGATTTTAATTTAGAGTTAGATCTGAGTTTTCAGCTGAATTACAATTGCAAATATAATGTCACATGTTATTATATAATTCAAATAAAAAATTCTCATCTAATTCTAAACTCAAATTTGAGTATTTTACGCAGGGTAAGTTCCAAATAATAACTATTAACATGATCTCAATTGAATTATAATATACATAATATTTATATCTGTAATCGCGAAACTGAAAAACTCTTATCTAATTTCGAATTCAAATTTAAAGCCCATATTAATAATCGTTACTTGAAACTCCTCTCAAGTAAGACATTCAAATCTGAGTTCAAAGTTAGATGAGAGTTTTTCAATTGAATCATTATAGATATAATGTTATAAATAATGTATAATTCAACTTTATGTTATAAATAATGTATAATTCAACTAAAAAACTTGGATCTAATTCTGAATAAAAGTCTGAGTGTCTCATGTAAGACAAACCTCAAGTGACAACTATTGATACTCTGAATATCTTACCTGAGACGAGTTTCAACTAATAACTATTACTGCGAGTCTCATATTCAGAAGATTAGAGATTATCAGATATTATTTCTGTCTGGGGAATATACTTACACCTTCGGCGGTGCAAACGCAGCTGGTACAAGGCGTGGGGAAACCAGACTCGCCAACGGCGACGTTCCTTCCGCCGATCTGACAGCCATGTCTTGTCTCCCGCCAAGCGGAGAAGTCTAAATGGGGCATAGAATGGCAGGGTACGCGCGGGTTGAGGAAGTTGCTCGGCAGGTCGAACGCCGCCCGTTGCATTTCCGTGTGGCGGTCCATGTTCTCGCACATCACTTTGGACAGAGTGGTCTTGCGGATCTCGGCCAACTGGTGTTCGGTGAAGCGGATGTTCGGGTCGTCGGTCTCGTACCAGAAACGATCACACTTCCTCGACTGTCTGAACTGGATGGCGATGATGCAGGCAAACGTGGGTCCGACCAGACCGCCTTGAAGCGGTCTTTCGCTCATGCCACCCGGAAATAGATCGATGTCGTCCACGGAGGCGTATATGCGTTTCATACGAGCGATCACCTCCGGCGCCATCTCTCTAGAGAGATCCTCGAACGTGGTGGCTCTCTTGAGGTTGCAGAGCGCCCTGTAATGATTGTACGACGGCAATCCGTGGTCTCGGGCGCGGTGAACGTTCAAGGCGATCAAATCCACTCCGGAATGCGGTATACCGCGCTGTTCGAACAGATGATTGGTTACCTCGCCGGTGATGAACTGATCCAGCGTCTCCATCGGCGTAGCTACCAGACCGCGAACCATCTCGTCTATCATGCTCTCCTGATAGAGCATGTCCGGGTTAAAGAATCCATCGCGCAACAAAATAGGCGGGTCGATGTTCTGGTAGTTATGGTCCATGCGCGGCAAATGCGGCCGCAGTAGCGAGTGACCGATCCTGAAGGCCGCGGTAGCGAACTCGTTGAGCACGCTGGGGTTGCAAGTGGGCGAGTATTCCTTGTAGTAGCCTTGCGGCAATAGTTTCAAACCGTACAGACTTACGGCGTTCCAGCCGAGGATTCTTGGTAGGAACTCGTTGTAAGTGATGTGCTGCAGCATGCCGCTGATGATACGACGGGTTTGCTGGAACAACTTCTCGCCATCCCAATGGAGATTCACTTGCCTCAGACCCTCCATCACGCGGTTGTGTTCGCGTACCCACAGAGTATGCATGACCGCCAACGCCGGCTGCTCGGATGCTCGCCCGTCACCGCCGATGAAGCAGAAGCCAGAGCGTGCTTTGCACTCCGGGTGCGTCGACGACTGCGGCAACAGGTCCTTGCCGCGCATCGGGTGCGACGTGATGTTCATACGACCGTTGAAGCCGCGCAGGATGTTGCAAATGCATGAGTTCTCCCCATAGACCACAGAAGCGTCCAAGAAGCCGGTGTTCTGGTTCACCTGCTCGCGTGGACCCAGATGCTGCTGGCCCGGCAACGACCTCATAGACGGGAAGCACATACGCACGCCCGACGACACGTTCACGGTCGGGTAATAGTGGTCGCCTGGCGGCACCGGGAATGGATTACACTCAGGATGAACAGTGCGCGACGAGTCGCATGATCGGCAACTGGGTATAGACTCTTGGAAACCCTTATGTATAGGCGTCATCGTGAGATCATGGTCGAGGAACTGCGCGAACTGCATCACCATGAGCGTGTAGCGATTGTGCAAGTTTGAGATGTCGGGATGGATGACAGTGGAGACTACTCGTGGATTCGGTAGCGCAGTGCCGGTCACCGAAGTCATTCTCGGCTTGGACACGCCGTCCTCGTAAACAGGCGGCAACAGGCGCGCGAAAGTGGTCAACGATTTGCCGAGGGCGGGGTTGCGCAGATTGTTGCAGTGACCCGACAAAGTTCGGTAGGGCGATGTAGGGTCGCAAGGCGAGTCGTCCACTGGACACTGCACCTCTTCGTGATTCGTCGCCTTCTGCTGCGGCAGGAAGCCGGAGATGTCAACGTTCTGCAGCAAGTCAGAGAAGTCGTTACTGGGGAAGCCTAACACGTTCTCTGTACTGTCGAAGATCTGCCGTCTCCGACGTCGCAGACCGTGCACGCCATTGAGAATCTCATTAGTCGCTAGCTCGTACATGATGGACGAGTTGGCGAGCAGCAAAGCGTCCTTGTTCGCTTTGGAGAAACTGGCAGCGGTGCCAATGGGGGATTTCGGGTCGGCGATTCTCTGTTCCAGCCAAGCGTTGTATTCGAGCTGCTTGCGCTCGATCAGGTCCTCCTCCGCTCTCCTCACCGCCGCCGCCAACACATCAGGGCTGATGTCAGGTGTGAGCTTTGTCACTATAGTCGCGACATTCACTTGATTGTGATCCAGGATCGGTAACGGCAACGGTTCTTCGATCCATGCTGTGACATCCAACGACTCGTATTGCTCGCAGTTGATCTTGCTGTTCAGATACGGGTCTTGCTGGATGAACGCTTTGGGTTGGATCTTGCGGATCTTGGCGTTCGCGCAGAGAATCCCAGCGAGCGACACTTTCCTGATCTCCGCGAGCTGCGCCGCCGTCAAACCGGACGGCGGGATGTCGTTCTCGTACCAGAAGCGGTCGGACTTTCGCATCGTCACGAACTGCTTCTTTAGGAGGCATTCGAACGTGGGCCCGACCGCGGCGCCTTTCATGGGAGTTTCCAGAATCCCGCCCATGAGAAGGTCCACATCCTCCAGGTGAGTATAAATAGCGCTCAGCAGTTGCGCGTATTTGGGTTGCATCACTTGCGCCAGATTCGTGAAATTCTGAATCTGTGATCAAACGAATTTGATTAGTTTATCGCCAGTTTTATCATTTTTGCGAATCATAGATTTTATAATTTATGTGAAGCGAATATTTTATTAATATCAAAATAAAAGAACGCGATCGCGTTTAGCCCCATTTTCAGACATTCGAAATGTTAAATTATTTTTTTATAAAATTGTAGCTATTCATGAATAGATTAAAAATATAAAAATATCAAAATGAAGTTGAAACTGGTTATGAGAACTTGATCGCTTTTTTTCATATCCTGCGTACGATTGGTTATAGCAGGCGTGTTTTATACGACAAAAACATCTCTCGTGTTAAATTAATTAAACGGTTATTGCATGTTTTAATTATATTTTCATTAAAATTAATTGGATGTCGAGCTTTCGCATGTCACATGTTACTTAATCATTACTAAATTTGTGGTTTCACTATCGAATATATTCGCCTGCCTTGAGATTCTTAAGTAACTGGTAAAATTTCCATAGATATTGGCAAACATTTGCATTTTTTCAAATTCATCTTCGCTCGCGATATCCTTCGGTATATGAAAGAAAATCATTTCTGAGCTGTCAGACGATAAGAGGCTAACCGTTTTTAACATTTTTACGACGGGTATCTAAAATATCTCTATGGAGTTATTCTAATTTATATTCATCAGTTATAATAATCGCCAAAAGCCGCCACGATTTCGATAATTTTGACTTCGCGATTTAATAAATTTTCGTTTTCTCTCTTGAGAAGCTTGTTCATCCAATTGCAACAGATTTTATTCCTTTTCAGGCCGTTCTAATATTTCTACTATCGTTTTCAGCATCAAAAATATTCCCAGAGATTTCCGCATCGCAAAGTCAAGAATACCAAAATCTGTATCTATTCTGTATCAGCATCGTAAATCTATTATTATCCAAGGTTTACCTTGACACTCTCTCCTAAGCAGTCAGTCAGGAACTCAACGTATCCGGGTACACCGTGATCCCGCGCCATGTGGACCAGCCGGATCGCCGCGTCCATTGCGGTCGTGAGGTCAACCCTCGAAGCCGAGGTAGTTACATGCTTCTCGAATTGCGTGTCGTTCTCATCGGCGTTCCACGTCCACGCGAGAGCGTGCAACGCTGTGAGAGCCACGGCGTCATAGGTACCAGCCTCGTAAGATGACGAGTAGCCGTGGTGGAAGCCGTTACCGAGCGGCGCGAGCTCCGGGTCGACCAGCGCGCCTTCTCCCAGCACCGCCGGCACATATTCATTCAGGGTGACGTGCTGCAGTTGCGCGACGATGATGCGGCGCACCTCCAGGAACAGTTTTGTGTCGTCCCAGTGCACGTTCGCCGCCGCCAACTTGTCCGCCACGCGATTATGCTCGCACAAGAGAACCCTTTGTAACAGATCGAGCGCGTTCGTCGAGGAGAAGTCGCACACGGTCGGCTCGACCTTGCCGTCTTGGTACGTGCGCAGCTGGTGCAGATGGTCATCAGTGGCGCCATAAACCGCGGATCCGTCTAGGTATGCCGAAGCGCCGTTCATCTGCTCACGGACTTCGAATTGGCAGCCATGCACCGTCAGACTCGGCACTGACCGCCAGTACTCGCTGCAGCCGAACTTGTCGTCGCGTATCGCGTAGCACTCCGGGTGCCAACTCAATCCTCTCGCGTTGCTCGAGCAGCATCGGCCTCTGCGGTTCACGGGATGCGCGGTGGCGGCGATATCCCGCAACACCAGATCCGACCAAAGACCGGAGAGACTGGTGAGGCCCTCGTGGCTACCTTCCTGCGTCAAGATACTCAGATGGCTGAGAACCCTCGACACCACGTCGGTCGACGTGGGTAGATTGTGGCTGCCCACCGATTCACGTGGCTTGGAGATACCTGGAATGCAGACTACGTCAGAATCCCCGAGCTCAATGTATGCTTTTATCGCGTGGTCGAGTATTGCTCACGCGGACAATTAGTGGAATACAATAGCGTGCTCGGCTTAAATGTAACGGCACCTTCGTACACAGATTTGTGTCTTGCACATTTCATACATAGTAATGTATTTTAATATCTTTTTTATATAACATATCGTTAATGTAAAATGTTTTAATGTTTGGTATTTAATAATGAATTCAATGATGATTGACAATAACGATAGAACGACGACAATCTTGACAATGAAATTATTAAAACAAATAATTTAAAGTGTTTCTTTTTAAAATGGAATGCACTGAGAACAAAACACTTGAAAATTTATTTGAAAGTTCATTCGCAAAAAACAAATTTACACAGAAATAAGCTTTTTAATATTCCCACGAATAGATTTTCAAGTATTTTTTATTCAGTGTGCGTATTGTACGCCTTTCAAATATGTTTTAAGATAGACATCACATTTTGGTCGAGGGAGGAAACATGTTTTCCGAGCAGGCAACTTTCGTCGTTCGATCAACTGTGCTTCTCTTCGTTTTCTGTTATTTGCCGCGGGCAGAAATGGTTCCTTCTTTCGACACGCATTACAATCGAGGCGATCGCGACTCTCTCTTCGTGTAAGGGCAAGCAGCGTTAATGAGATTTAAACTACGTTCGCCTCTTAAATAACGCGATTGTTCGCGTTAAAAATGGAAGAAATGATTTATTCTTGAAGAGGAGAAGAGAAAGGAGAATGAACAAAATCATGCATATTTATATAGAATTAAGCAATATGTGATAAAAGGAAATTAACTCGCAACGTAACTCGAAACTGAAATTGAAATAAATACATAAATTTGTATCTTAATTTTGAAGAAATGATATACTTGGCGCGAGACGCTATCGTGTCTCCTAATAAGGCAAAACGTTCAGTACACACAGAAAAATATATACAACATTCAAGTCTCAAGTATTTCATAAGCTTATATATCTACAAATCTATTATAAATTTATCATATGTATCAAATTACATAAAATTAATCATACATTTGAGAAAAATTTACTATTATTTACAAAAGAAGAATCTATTTTTTTACAAAAATGTTGTAAAACTTTAACATTTTAATTTTATAAAACTAAATTTTGAATTCTAGTAAGTTTGGCATTTCAATCGAGGATATTAAATTAAAATAAAAATTCGGTTTTGTTACATAGAGTCGAACAAATATTTTCTTTGTTAAAGTTTTATAACATTCTTGTAAAAAAATAGATTCTTCTTTTGTAAATAATAGTAAATTTTTCTCATATTGTAATAAATATATTTTAAGACTATTATCAAGAAAATATTCTTTTCTGAAAATAACCATTGCTTGAGACAAAGGAAAGTAAATTGAATAATCGTTTTTCTTAGCAGTATGCTGAGAGAAAAAATATTTATACACGATATATACTAGTGTTTACAATCGATCGAGGAGATGTCAATCACAAATCGCGATACCGGGATCGTTCCCCGAGAACGCGAAGATGACTTTGATTCTTGAGAGAGGAAGGATTAGGATAAACAGAGAATGAGATAGAGACAAAGAGAGAAAGGAGACTATCTCGATAGAGAATATGGAAGGCAAATTGGAAGGCAAAAAAATGATGTGAACTGTCCGTCTGTTGCACAATTTTAATTTTCTGCGATGAACTTCCCTGGCTTGAATTTAATCAATTTTCTGCACGTAACGAATTTTAGTCGGATTGACGAACTGAGTGTTTGGTACGCGACTGTTACGCGCTGGCTCCAATCACAATTCGCGACGTATTCAAATGTTAGCAAGTTATCGTGATCTTTTAACTATCGCACTAATTGACGAGTTTACTGCAAACTGCTAAGCAATAAAATAGAACGGCGAACTTTCCTCCTCACTGTTGGAAAGCTGAGTTCTGAACGTTGTGAAGGCTCCGAATCTCCGAACAGAGCACGAGCCGGAAAAATGGTCGAACCAGCCGACGCGGTTAGCAAAGCAAACACGATAGTCTCAAACGCCCTTTAGTGTTAGACAAGTGGACTCAGCTCCGACCTCAAAATCAGAGAAAAAAAACGCGAAAGATGCAACTGATGCTAGTGGCGGGCGCCTTGAGCTCGACTAGAAAGAATCGACGACGGATTGAAAACCGTTAACTTGTTTTGCTTGCACTCGCATACGCAAAATTCGAACGAAAGCGGAACAATATCGGCTTTAAAACGGCGTGAGATTCTCCTAGTGGGAGAATAGTCTGTGCGTTCTCGCGACACGCACTCAAGGACGAAGCCTGAGATTCTCGCGAATTCAATGTATCGTTGAACGCGCGGACTCTCCATTCAGTAGACGTCATTTGATCCTTAACAACTAGTAAACATATTTACTTAAATCTAAATTCTTTTGCTCGAGTTTTATCAAATATTGAGGTATATGGAGATTTGTTAAAATTATTTATCAATTATTATTTATCATTTCTTTATTTTCTTTTAAATCTCCATAGATCTTAGTATTTGCTAATATCTGCCGAAAACGAGCAGAGTACCAGCTACGACATCCTGGACGTTTCATCTTGCAATACAAAGAGTTGAGAATGCAATCGAGACGAGGCGACGTGCGATCGTTCATGTCTAGAAAGTGACGACGAATTTATCGACGTCGGCCATCCTCGGATAATTACCGAGATCACTAATATAGCGAGCCGTAGTGAAGCCCGATCGTTCCCGAATAGAAAGCAGCAACTTAGAGCACATGTGCCAGATATGTGGCACAGTGGAAATCGAAGGTTCAGTATTACGCGTCGGCCACAAAGTGAGATTATACATCATTGACGTAACAATATGGGGATTCCGATATTTGATCCGTCAAGATCCAGCCTCCCATTGCGTCCCGGATCTGCGAATACGCCGACACTGAGTAAGCGAAATCTCCGCGGAAGTGTTCCCCTACGTTTTGCAGAATCGATTAACCATGCGATTACCAAAGACCGTCGACATATACATCTGAACGATGTTTGAGAAATCGTTCATATTATTTCGACCGCGGGCAAACTGACGATACTGGTCTTGAAAAAACCGGACCTCGAAGATCGCCGGAGAATTCTCGAGGCGTCTATAGTTACGTATGCGTCAACCCAGCAGCGCATGGGACATTGATGGAATATTCAAGTGTTCGTTTGTCCTTTCCCCCTTTCTTTCTTTTTTCAATTTTATACCACGTGGAAAAAAATTTCAGTTCGGGTAACTAAATGGGGACCAGACGTAGAACTCGTTGACGAGAAATAAGATTCTTGCAATTGAAAACATTCATTTGAATATCAATAGCTACATTAAAACTCGGTTGAGATAACTGAGAGCTACATAGCTGATAAAGCCTCCTACAAGAGTCTCCTTCAAGCGAGTTTCTTATCTAGTCCTCAAGTAACAAAAAATTCAGTTACATCAACAAAGTTCTGTTTTTTTCCGTGCAACCATTATCGAATAACCTGAAAGCTGTCAGCACTATATCGACGCGGTTGTGAAGTAGCGTAACCATGACACACCACGACACCTACACTATACTAGAAATATATATTGGGAAGAAATATTTGAAAATGTATTTGTGGGATATAAAAGTTTATATTTCTGTGAAATAAAATTTATTTCTATAAATATCAACTTCACATTCCCTCCCCCCTCTGTACAAATAAATTTCCCAGCATTTTTTCAGTTTATTAAAATTGAAAAAAATTTATATGTGTAAAAAGGAACTATAATATATACTTTTTTTCTGTAAACAAACTTCATATCCTTCATAAATAAATTTCCAAGCATTTTTTCTCAGTATATTATAATTGAAAAAAAATATAACTGAAAAAAGTTTATATTTTGAAAGTAACTGTAACATATATTTATTTCTGTGAATAAACTTCATATTCCCCACGAATAAATTTTCAAGTATTTTTTCTTCTGTTGTATAAAATGTGCATTGAAATTAATGCATTAAAAAGCGATTATAAAGCGGCGCTTTATTTTTGTAAGATTAATTCAGGGAGTGCAGGTGGTGCGGGCAAATTTGGTCATCGCATCTCGCGTTTCGTATGCAGAGATAAGCAACGATGAGTCACGCGGATGTTACCGGCAAGTGAGTGACGAGAGCCCGAAGACGGCTCTACTACGTGGGGTCTCGAAAAGTGCAATGTGTGTCAAAATTCTGTGTCATGGTTACGCACAAGGCGTCGCTCTTTAATGACCACACAGTAAGTGTTACACGACGCCGCCACACGGCGACTTCTTCTTCTTCTTCATCATCTTCCTACACACGACAAACGTCGTGTTTTAATTCACGACGCATCGCAGACGTCTCTATGTCGCGCGTTCGCGGAGGATCGACGCTCGTCTCTCGCGCGGTCGTTCGATCATAACGATCCTGAGAAGGAGATGAAGAAGATCCGCAAACACTTGAAAAACTGTTCCAACGGAACAGCTCGTCCGCGGCCTTGTTCCTAATTACGACGATAGACTCGCGCGCGAATCATCTATGGGGACGAGCTTGAGAAGATTTCCCTTTAAATATCGCCGCGCTAGTCTCTGCCGCGAACCTCACCTTTTCATTACTTCAGGTTAACGCCGCATCGCGTAAATTGATTTCAAGCTACATCTTGCAATTCGTCACGTCTGATACCAGTATCCGATATTTCCTTGGAGTATTTTTCGCTGCGCACCATTGATTTCAGTTTGCTGCCCACGCGAATGCATAGTAGAGGAATGCGGAGGAATCGAATCAGGTGGAAAGTAATAAGTCACGAGATTCTTAATAAGTCACAATGATAACTTCGTTGCGAGGCGTCAACTTCTCATACGAAACGGCTACAAACGCGAATATAAATAGATGAAATGTATTTACAAAACGTGAATATTATACGTGATAAAAATATCTAAATAAAATATAAAATCTAATATAAAATCTAATATAAAATCTAATATAAAATCTAATATAAAA